TGCAAGGATCCCTTCTAACATCTGTGTGCTGTTTTGCATAGGTGAATAGGACCCACACGGAGCTTCTTGCAGGATCCATGCTGTGTCTTCAGCAGACCTTAAAGACAACTTTAAATTGATAGTATCAGGTGGTTTGTCACTTTCTGGTTTGATTGTTATGCTAATTGTTAGCAGCAATGTGGGAGATCCTTTTAACTAGAGTAGGAGATAATTTTTCCTCAGCTTACTTCCTGCATGGAAGCACTATGATGGAGCACTTCATTTAATTATCCTACTGCAGAGAGATGCCAAGTGTTGACAGGGTATTGTTCCTGGACAACTTGCTTGAAAAAATCTTGTAAGAATCGATTGAAACTTGTGAGCGCGTGTTCCCCAAAGTGGTATCCCTCTTCTGAAGCTATGCAATCTCAGTGCTTATTTTAAAACCAGGAAAAAAAAAAAAAAAAGAGGTGGGAGGTGGGAAATACGTAAGAAAAAAAACCTCGGTTTGTCATCTTCCAGCTGACAAAACCATGCACTGTAATTTGCAGGGCGTTGCTTAATGGTATGGATGATCCAGCATCCATACTGGTGGAACGTTGTGCCACAAATAACAAAGATTTGTGCTGTTGCCACCTTCAGGGCATAAGCCAAGCCCTTTTCGTGTGTTTTCCTATTTGATGAATGAGCCTATTTAGTTCCTTTGTGAAAAGAACTTTCCTGACCAGTCTTTTGCACAAGAGATGAAGGGGATCTGTTCTGACCAAAGTTCCCTGTGCTCCATAAATGTGCGGTTGCTCCAGTGATAGGTTTCTCCTGTGTAAAGGAGTTCAGGTAGCCCAGTGAAAAAACCCTAAAATAAAAAAACTGAGTCCTGGAAGAACCCCTCTCTTAGCCAGACCGACTAACTCACTGCCTGTCTGCCCAGTGTGTACATGCATGCACATATATGCTCTAATCTTCTAAAAGACTAGAAAAATTATATAATTATATATATAAAATACAGTTTTCTGTATAATTATATATAGTTATATAATTTTTCTGTTTGGTTTTTTTTCCTCACCCTGGCTATTCGGTTAACGTGCCACAATTTTGCAACTAGCCATGTGCTTTGTTGCAACTTTAACTCCTGCGTTTCCTGGCTTATTTTTACCTTAACACTTCAGGTAGGTTGTTTGGTTTATTTTTTGTATTTAACACACACAGTTTTAGTGTTTCATCAACAGAATCCTCTCTGAGAGTAGGATTTGGGTTTAAATTACTTGAGATGCAAATTTGAGTAGACTCAGTGTACAATCAAATCACTCTCATTTTTTTTGCTCCAGAGTGACCATCAATGTGTCATTCATCTGAGAGAGCAGAAGGGATCTTCTCTTCTGGAGTGTCAAGTAAAGGCTTGCTTGTTTGCTGCTGCGGTTTTGCTCAAGACAACTTACTGTCATTTGCAGAGTTAGGATATTACTTTGGTCCTAAGTAGACTGCTAATATTTTCTTTCTAATATAACAACAGGTTGAATGCTTGTGAAAAAATGAGTATATACATTTTGTGCTTGGTGGTCTCTGAAGGCAAAGTGTATTAAGGGAATTCATCATTTTTATAGGAGTGTAAAAAGTATTTTATTTTAATCTCCTTGAAAAAAAAATATATAAATATATACAAGTGTAAGCCTTTAATATAGTGGATCCCTTGGGGGTGCAGGCATCTGCCCTTGCTGATCTCACTGCAGCAGTGTGTCTGAAATGTGTTACTGTAGGGCTGGAACGAACCATTTCGTCACAGCCCTGTTGTGGGGGAATAATGCAGAATTGTATTGCCCCAAGGAAATAATTTCAAGGTATGATTTGGTTTCCTCTGTGCAGGCACCTGGGCAGATGTGTGTGTTGTAGGGGAGTAAGTGAGAGGTAGGTATGTGAATGCCATCCATGGCCCTGAGGAGGGAGCAGCTATTATTTTTGAGTTTGTTGATGCTGTAGGGATACTGTGATGACAGAACTGTGAAAAGTTCCCCCTAGTCACATTTCCAGAATTTACCCGTTAGTTTGCAGTGGCCTGTAATCACAGAAACTGAATTTGTATGACATCATACCTCACTCTCCACTCACTGGTTTGCTTTTATTTAAAAATGAATAGCATGCTTTTTGTAACTTAATAGAAACATCATTCTTTTTATTAGAGACTTTAATGATTAGGTTTTTCTCCAGGTATTTTTTTAAGTATTCTCATTTACTTTGATGTAATATATGCATGCCATTACCTCTTTGACTGTAGTTCACTTTGTTCTCTGTGTCTATATTTTTTAGGACCCTTGAAACCAGAAATTACCATAACTTACATTGCTGTTTCAGCTATATTCTTTAACAGTGGACTCTCCTTAAAAACTGAGGTACTGAAATTTCTCATTGCTTCATACTTGTTTTGCTTTAAAAAGTTTTGTGTTGCTTTTGTTCCGGTTTGAATGTAATTGGAATATTTAATTGCTATGCTGTGGTTGTTGATGCTGGGAGAATGCCTTACAAGGGAAGATAAATATTTGACACTTATGGAATAACCCCTCCTTGATTTCAGAAAATTCTTCACAAAGTAATGAACACATTGAGAAGGAGAGTGTGAATAAATTTTACCCATCCATAGAGGGTGGTTTGCTTGACTTTGCAGGGCTTTACCTAAATGGAAGTGCTGGGCACAGTTTTGAGACTGGATCTACACCCTGGATGTGTCCCAAATGCAAATCAGGGTGAGACCCAGGAGCACACTAGCACCTGTCTTCTGTCACCCCTTCTGCACCTTGGCTTCCCCACTGCTCAGCTGAGATACAGGACAGGAAACTGTGTGAATCCTAGGGTAGAACTTTGTAGGGAACCAGGCAGAGAGGGGCCGTGTGGAGTCTCCATGCTTCTGTAGGACACGAAGAGAAGGTGTGATCTCTCTGTGCCTCTCTCCTTCATCTCACCTGCTGGTGTGTTCTCTGAGTAAAACTGTTTAGGCTAGTCACTAGAGGATTGATGCAAGCAAAGATCTGGTGGCTGTAAGTTACCACGTTAGGCAGGCACAGTACAGCAGCTAATATCAACACAAAAGGGTTCCTCTGCAGATGCAAGGCTAGATACAGGTACAAAGTCTTGGCAATCTTTTCCTATAGGATTTAGTTGTGGACAGGTGGACCTGAAGTGCCTATGCTCTGCTGCGTATCACAGACACTGAGACTTGTTTCAAATTTTGTCACACATCTTTCAAAGAGGAACAATCCAGGAGTAAGAAGAGATGGAGGGGAACCTCTTAGTGATGTGTAAACGAGGCATGGAGAAAGGAAATGATGGCTACGTGCCAAGAAGAGAAGGAGCAGCCAGGGTTGAAGTGAAACACTGCCTGTCTCTGCTAGTCTAGTTTTTTGATTCCTTTTACACTGTTGGCTGTGCTAACAGGTGATGTCATTCATATGTTGCGTGATAGTAATGCCTGAAAGAATCATCCTGGTATTGTCCAGTTATCATCTGGGCAAACTGGGATTTGGATGAACAGTATGCATTCAACAAAAAAAAGCTTCTCTACCTGTATCATGGTTAAAGTGATAAAGTTTCAAACGGAAATGGTGTTTGAATTGATGGCAGCCCTCTCCATCTGTGTCTGCTGGCAGTGCTGGCTCTATGGCTTCTAGTTCTGTATAAGTGAAGTGAATAACTTTACTCAATTCTGTAGCAGCTATTTAGAGCCTTGCGGTCTTATGGGGAAGCAGGAGGAACCATGTTATCTATTTGCTTGGAACAGTAATTAATCCTAATGGAAGTAGGCTGCAAAGAGGCACTTTCTTCCACAGAGAAGAGGACCTGGAACACAAAGCCTGAGTAGTATTAATGGAGTGGAGTTTTCTGCTTTCAGGGTTAGGAATCTTTGCGTGCAGAGAAAAAATGTAAAACTTCTTTCCCTTTCACTAGTTTGTATCCTTGAAGCTTTATATTTGTAAAGCATCTGTGAGTGAGAGTGAGATCAACAGCACTATCAAAGTCTTGATTAGACTCTCAGTGCTAGTGTACTTCTAACTTTTTCCAGTTAAGGTGACACGACTGACAGGTTCCCGGGCAACGTGTCATGTCCTACTTTGAACTTGCGTAACTTTTTTCATATCTGGTTCTAAAAGCAATATATTGATGTAAATAAATCTTTTACAGGAGCTGATGTTTATGTCCAGGTAGCTGATCTCAGATTGTTTCGGAAGCATCAGTTAGGACTGGTGCTATACATCCAGCTTTATGTTCCATCAAGAAGCTAAGCCTTTTCTGAATTTCTGCCATGGAGGTAGAAGATAATGAGGAAGAAAAAACATTTCACTCATTGTACCTTGTGCTAGTACTTTCTAAAATGTATGTTTAAAAAAAAACCCAACAAAAACAAAACCTTAAATGTGCTAGAAGGCCACGTCATGATTTTATGAAAATACTTTGGGGCATGTTTTAATTGTTTAAGGCACAACCTAAAGGTGTTACTTTTAGTCAGTTAATATATCTTTTTATTGGATTGCAGAGTAAATTATTTCTGCTTTTGTCTTTATTAGTTCTTGACCTGTGTGTTGGCTGCTCTACCTTGGATAATACGGTAGATCAAAACTAGTGTTTGGTATGCTTTATGAAATGATAAAAAATCGTGTAAGTGTTAATGGAGGCCTTCAGATAAATCAGACAAAATTAGAAATAGCTGATGCTCTTTTAAGGTTACACTTCTGGGTTTATCTGCTGTGAAAGCACATGCTCAAAAAAATTCGCTCACATGCATTCAGAAGGCATTTTACAAAATAATTGGGAGCGTTCAGGCAGAGCCTGTCTGTGCATGGCCTTTTTACATTTTCAAATATAGAAGTCACTGAGATCCTCTTACATTTGTAGAAATAGTCAGTGTCCAGGAATGACAAGAACATTTGATTCCACCTTAATATAATGGTCTTTCAGTTTTCAGTGACTGGATAGCTTGCTCTTTTAAAGCAAATACCTCCTGTAGGGCCCCAGAAATTAAATCACATACTTGAGTTATCCATTTCAATGAGGAATTTGGCAAGCCACTGCAAACACTGTTCACTCTGTGTGTATTTGCCCAGAGGAGTCTGGCTACGACCATGTAAGTATGGCTGGATGGCAACAGGGACCCACACTGACCAGCAAGAGGTTGGGATAAGCTCTGAAGGGTCTGAAATACTGGGAAAGACAAGGTAACCTGTTCTACCTGGTGTGCAGAAACACAGTCATAACTAGCAGCTTCCAGTAACTTTTCTGAGACTTCTGCTTTTTTGGAACAAGCCCTTGTAGATTGCTTAAGAGGGTGAAGGCCATTTGCCTTGGTGTTTTATGATGATACAGTCTAAGGAATAACTATTCTAAAAGGCAATCACTAGAGTCATTTTAAAGACTGGTAATTTAGATCTGCAAAGACCTGTTCTGCTAATACAGCATTCCTTCATGTGCTAGGTTGGCTGTGTTGTAATCGCCTTCCTTACTCTCTGGAAGCTCTAACCAGTCTTTCCCAAGTTTTTGTTTTGGATTTCACTTTTGAAAGTATCGCACAGTTTTCTTCAAATCATCTGTTTTTAAGGCATTTTCCAGTTGTAAAAATTATTAAATTCAAAGGCCAGTACTGTGTGTGTGATGGTGCCTAGATTGGGAGTGTTTCCAGGTCCACTAGGAAACCTGGGCTGGAGGTGACTTGGTAGGAAAGGAGGAATTAGCAGCTTTGCTGAAAGAAGTCACTTGCTTTGGTTTTTCTCAATTGTATTACTTGCTTTTAAAATGTACACTTTTATATAGGTACTTCCAGGGATTTTTTCTTCCTGCACAGGATGTGTTTCTACTACTAGATATTTTATTTTTGCTTTCTTTTTGAGATAAGATGAAATAGTACTACAGTGAAGCTATTCATAATGCCATAGGTACTGTGACAGGTTATGTGTGAAGAAGGCCTATTTTTTCATGCAGTGTGATACTAGCCTGCTTAAGAGCTTCCTTTATTTAAAAACCCTGTTGTTTCATTCAGTTAACCAACCACTGAATGTAATGATACTTTCTTGGTAAAACTGGGTCAAGATGTCCATGTATTTTTTTTTTTGTGGAAGATCTTTTTTTCTCCTAACCCAAATTTGGGAGGTAATTTTATTGAAAGAGATAAAGTAACAAGGACATGGTGCTAAATTGCTAGTACTTCCAGATGTATAATTATATCAGTGAGCATTTGGATGGTCAAAAATGCAGTGTTTGTGTTTCATAAAAGTTCACCTGTTTTGAAGCTGAGAGAGGGTGGCATTTGAAGATTGGCTGCTGCATTACTGTACATGGAAATACACTTTTTTATATTGTTCTTTTTTTTTAAATGTATCTGGAGTGTCAAATAGCTGGAGAATCCTAGCAAATCAGATTTTGAATAGAAGTGCCATCAGTTCTTTTCCTGTTGCATTGTTTACTTGAATGCGCGTTAGTTTTACAGAGAGGTAAAGGAATTTTTCTTCTCAGTCTGAGAGCTGAAATGAGCTGAAATGTACAATGCTTTTTCCTTGTACTCAAAAACTGTAGATGATCTTTGCAGTGCCCAAAAAGACAGAAGCAGAGAGACACAGAGCTAACAGAAGAGTTTATTACGTAAGGATACTTGATCACCTCTCCGGAGTGCTCTTACACTATTTAAAATTAAAATTTTTCTTTCTCAGTCTGCAGCAATGTTTTGCACCTTATTTATCTGAATTTTATGGCTCAGCTGTTGTTAGCTTGTTATGGTCTTGGTATTCTTTCTTTGCTATTCATCATCAGCCTATTATTTTTTTTTCCTATAAATTTCCTGTCTGTTCATGCAATAAGTAATCAAAATCTGCTATGGATTACTTTGCTTTTTTTATGTTTGCTAGTCTTTCCTTAAAAAAAACCAAACACCACAAATGATGACTGTTTGTAATGCAGACATCCCTTTTTCACGATATAAATGAGAATCACAGTTTGTGGCTCTCTTTAGACTAGAGAAACCTGGAATCACATGGACTCTACAAGTTTTCCTTCCTCTTACATCAGTAGTCAATAAAGTAAACAGGCTGTCAGCATAGTTAACACAGGTTTTGAAGCAGTGACAAAGTGCTAAGGCTGCCTGCTGAAAAGCTACCGTTATGAGAGCTACACTGTTATTGAAGTGGTGGACAATTCTTTTGGAAAAATGCCCAGGAGCAGACAGAGCTTTTATGTTGTCTGGATATACTTCATTATTAAAGGGGAGATCAGGTGAACCCTAAAGGTGCCTTTTTGACATGCACTGTCTTTGTATTATAAAGATGATGCTAGTTTTAAAAGCACAAACGTGGTCTTACTTCAGCTGTTATGACTGCAACTTCCTCTCTTCTTTTTCTTTTGCAGGAGCTGACAAGTGCTTTGATGCATGTGAAACTACACCTTTTTGTCCAGATTTTTACACTTGTGTTCTTCCCAACAGCAATATGGCTCTTTCTTCAGCTATTATCAATCACACCTATAAATGAATGGCTTTTAAAAGGGTATGTTTAAGCATAACGGAGTGACATATTTGTAGCTGTCTTCTTAAAGGGCTGCTTATCCTGCAATGGGTGTTTTAAGACTTTTATTGTGAACAGATTTTTCTGGTTGTTTTTGTGCTCCAGCACTTTGCTGTTGAAAACACAGCACATGCACAAGATTATCCTTTCGGGAACCTGGTCTCACTTTTAGAAGGTCTGGCCAGTTAGTTTCATATGTAGGGAGCTTGCAACAGGTTAGCTTTCTTTCTCACAAAACTCAGCTGAAGTGCTGTGCTGAGTCTCAAGGAGGATGGGGAGGAAAGAAAAGGAAGGCTGAAGGAAAAACATAAGTCAGTGAATAAATACTGGGTATGCCATGTACTGGTCTTGCAGTCTGTTTTTAAACAGTCTGTATTGAGCATCTCTTGTGTGTGTCCAGATTGGGGTTCAGTATCTGCTGCTAGCTAAATTATGGCTGAGAGGAAAGAGAGTAAATTTTGTGGGAGGAGAACTTTGACATGAGTAGAAGCTAAGTTATCATGAAAACAATGTGTTTTAAATCTTTGGTGTACTCTGCCAATGTGTGCTTCCAAAGCTGCATTGATGGTGCAGTAGTGATAGAAGTTATGAAAAATAAAAAAAATAAAAAGCTTTTTTCAGAATCAAAGGTCAATACCTAGCACCATGCAGCTATACTGGAATGTTTGAATGCAAAAATCAATTATTTTAGAAAGCTACTTAAAGAATCCCCATTATTTCTTACTGCTTGGTGAAACATTGCTTGGGGAGAGTTCCCTGTCTTAAAAGTTTAATGATAAAGCTGCTCATGTTTATGTTTTTACAAGGTCTAAACCTAAAAGAGCATTTTGTTTTGTTTTTAAGAGGCGTCTCCAAGTGTTCCACCAAGTGTGAAGTGGTCCAAATGATACTGAGAACGTGAAATTGAGATGTCATCATTTAAAAGTTAGCACTGTTTTGCTTAATAGTATTAGTACATCAAGGAAATAACAAGGTTGCTATACAATGTCTATTTGCATTTGGCTATTCATAGTAAAGGTTATTCTTTAAAGTGAAATCATTGTGAAGTTTTTCCTTTGCTAGAACAGAGACATTACTTTCTAGTGAGCCAAAATTCCCTCCATGGAAGTCCACGGGAGTCTCAGTTTCTGAAGTGCAAGGTGCAAGAAGCGTTTGTGGTTTTTGTTCCTTGCAGTGTTTCTCATCTGTTCTTTCCTATGACTCTTATGGCACTTTGGCCCTTAGTATTTAAGGGACATGATCTGTTACATGCACAAGTATATGTGTATGTATATTCATACACATCTGTAAAACTGCGTGTAAAACTACATATGTATATATTTTTTTTTAAAAAAAGGTACTCCTGTATGTGTATCTCCCTAAATGTGGAGCCTAAGCCAGCCTCATTTTTCATGAAGGTGTGTCTGTATTTTACCACTAAGCTAGTATACTTAAATGTTTCAAGCCACCTTGCAAGCATTTGTTCCTTGAGTACTATATCATTCTTGGCTGTGGTTTGTCTTTTAGTGCAGTAACTCTGTTGTATTCAGACTTCATTCATTTAATGAAGGGATTTTTTTGTTTTGTTTTGAAAGAATGCTGTCTTGATAAATACTGCTGTTCAGGACATGCTCGGAGCACCAGCCATTGTGTGGGTCTGAAGGCATCCACTGCAAAGGGAGCCTTGATGGGAACGGTACCTTCAGTGCTGTGCAGGTGCAGAAGATACCGAGCTCTGTCCTAATTCTAGGACAACACATTTTAAAGCAAGTACATGCATGTTCCAATATGGGTATGTGAGAGTGAGGAGCAAATGTGAGGAACTGCCCATGCCTTGGCCACTCTGTGTAACCAGAAGTTCATCCTAATGCCCCACAGCTGTAGTTTTTATTCCCTAGAAACACTGAAGTACCTGATGAAAACAGGGGGGAACAAGACAGGCTTTGGCAAAGTTAATTCCTCATCACGCATGTTTAGCACAGCTCGTAGTGGGAGCTAGTTGATAGTTCTCACAAAGGCCTGGAAAATTAGGCACACGCTCCCAAGGGCATGCAGTACCCTTTGGCAGGGTGGCTCCCCTGGGGCCTGTAGTTCTCCACTACTCTCTACACAAGGTTATGCCTAAAGGCCACAGTCAAGCCCATAGTTAGTCTCCTGCCTTACTTCAGAATGAATGGTAGATTCTCTCATCCTCTATAATGGTCTTTTTTGCTGTAAATGTTATTTGGGAGGCAGATTCAGATGGTATCACCTTTTCATCTGTGTTTCTACTGTTGTTGGTTTGTTTGTTTGGTTGGGTTTTTGTTTTTCCTTTCTGTCTGGGATGATATTAGGAGGTTTGTTGTTCTGCAACTATTTTGAAATATATAAAGTAGAGCAGAAACTGACATAATCCCAAATGTTTTTTAAGTTAATTTTTTGTTAGCTGACTAGGTTTTGCATTGATAGGATCTCTTTGAAAAGGAGCATGAGGCAACTTAACAATGTTTGCACAGATTCTCCTCCTCTGCCCCTCTTAGCATATAGCGTTTACAGCACAGGTAGTAAAGATCTGGTACAAATATGTCTTTGGTAGTTCCATATCTAAAATATGTGACTTCGGACCCTGCCACTCAATTGTCAGTAATGTATTAGTGGAACAGGTATTATTTATTGCCATGCAGCAAGTGGACCCTTGATGTTAGTACTTATAGTATGGTCTGAACCAGTGGAATGTCTCAGTTGGTTGTTATCTACAGTAATCTGTTGGCCATTAGAGGAATTTGTTTGTGTATTGGTAGTGTTACATGTAGTTGATACAAAGCAAGGAAAAACAACAGTTGACAAGTGCATGTTTCAATATACCTGATTAAAAGTACACATGTTTCAATATACCTGATTAAAAGTACACACTATTTAGTGTGTACCATTATTTTTTTTTTGGTAGATTAATGTTTTCATATAAAGAATATTTAAAAACATAGCTTGATAGTGATTTTTATTTTTTTAAATTCCAAATGTGTTATTTTAAATTTGAGAGGGTTCACAGAGATTGTGTTATTAAAACTTTCTCTTATAGTGTGGAAAATCCCTGCCAGCTGAGATGAATGCCCTTGCACACATTTCATACCTTTCTGGATAACTTTGAACTTAATCCACCCCTTATTAGTGCAGGTGAGAAGTTCAAGGAGCTGACTGCCAAGAGACCGCATAGAAGAGAGATAACAGTATCACAGCCAATGTAGGGAGTGGACATCAGAATTGCCATGTGTTTGTTTGCTGTATATTTTCATGTATATTTCCAAACTTTACACGCTATTTCTTTTTCCTGTATTTCTTTTCTTTTCAATATGAGCTTTTCCTAAGTGCTGCCAACTCTCTGCTTCCATAGCTTACTTCACTGTAAGCTAAAGGTACAATGTACTTTCTAGGTGGTGCTTGGCACTTTGTGGTTGGATTTATATAATGCTTACATTGGCTTTCTCTTTCCTTTTCCACAGTGTCTGTAGCTGACAGACTGAATACCATCATTGTCATTTACCTGTTTCTTCTATTTAAGCTTTTTGTGTATTTGCAGCATATCAGTTGCACTACAGTATGCTCCCTGTTGTTTGGATTTAATATTTCTGTTTGCTTTAGCTTTTTGACACTGCGTTTCTCAGGGATGGACTAACACAGTTACAAGTGCAAAGTAGTTCACTGCTAGTAATTGATCTGAACTAGAATACTGTCTCAGACTCCAGTACTTGAAAACATATGTAGATACCATGCTTTGGGGGGCTTCACAGACTACTTTAATGCCTCACTGTTCCTTCTAAGTCAACATGGTTTTTCTTCTTTACTTAGTCTCAAATTTAATTGTAATCTATTGTGGTGTGTTCTTGTTGTTTCTAAATACACATTTGATACAACTAACTTTTGTAATAACCACTTTTTGTGGACTGGCTTTGAAAACAGAAGAAAGCTTGCCATTTTTTCTTACTTTGCAACAGCATTTACTATATATGTTGATGATTTTGCTGCACAAATAATGGAAAAAATGTCAGATAATTGATTTTAGACTGCTAAAATGCAGGAGAAAGGTTTTGGTATGTTGATTAATGGAAGCCAGGTGACTTTACCAAGAAGGGAAAACATGCATAAAAATTAAACATTTGATGATCTTTTAATGTTCAGGAAATGAAAAGCTTAATTGTGATTATTTTTATTTAGTAGGAGGTAGACAAAGTATAGTGGGAACCCGAAATAGTGAGCATGATTCTTCTTACTCTTCTACTTAACAGTAAACATTTTTATCACTGAATAGCTTTTTCAAGAAAATAAGGGTTTATGTCCTTATTTTCTTTTTTTTTTCTCCCCAAATAGCTGCAGGAATCTCAAAACACACTACAAACTTTACTACATCAGGAGAGATGATGCAGTTATCTTTGTGATAGATGGGAAGATATCTTTGTGAGTGGTAGATACAGTACTACAGATGAGGAAATGAAGTCAGAGTGGTTTAGTGTTTGGGTTTTTAAATGGTGACATGACTCTTCACTGTGGTGGTTGGTAAGAGATGGCATAGAAATCCTGCCATCTGTGCAGAGCTGTAACACAAATGGATTGGGTTGCGCAGGTAATAAGATGATTGTTTCTACTCAGCTGTTTGGTATTTTAAGATTTTAGGTTGCATAGTGTTTGTATCATGTGAGGAATGTAACATTTCTTTTTGTTGTTTTCAGCTTGCAGACGGTAGGTTGCATGCCACCTCCTGTGTCTTCTGCAGTGATTTTAACCAAAGCTGTTGGTGGAAATGAGGTGAGTTTTCATTTTGTTCTTGAATGCTTTTTTTTAAACAGAAGGTCAAATAAATATTTATTTATGATGAGCTCGTGCGGCAAAACACTGACTGTAATGTGATGCTATTGTGGTTTGTAAAAATTTTTAGAATTAAAGCTTGGGTATCGTGTTGAACAAGGGAAATAGTGTTATCTGCTGGTATTGTTCGAACTGAAAGAAGCTCAGTTTTCTGAGGTGATAGAAAAGTTTCTGATAGAAATTTGTGTTAGCAGATTTCTGCTTGTTGCTGCACTGTAATTCCTAACCGTATAATGTTCATATGCTGTGTACTGGTTATCTCATAGACCATTAGCTTTGTGATGAAGAACTGCCCTTGCAGTGATTGTTTGGATGGTGTTTAGTATTGAGGCCCTATAGTAGGAGTTCCTCAAGCTTGAAGCTACAAATATAGCAAGTGATGAAGCAGACACTAAAATTCATTTAAATCTTATATTGTTATTTGCGACTGCATGAAATGAAAATTCTGGGAACATGGAATTCTCTGACAATGATGCAATGCAACAGGAAATGCCAGAATTGAAGGTTGTGCAAACTCAGTTTGGTCACATTATATTTCTGCCTTAAAATGGCAAATGCTGATGTCATTTCAGACTCTATCCACAAAACACTTCCAGCATTCTGGAAATCAATCCAGGTGTGCTAGTTAATGAGGTCATTTCCTTTAGATCTGCTTCCTCCTAAATGCTGAAGGTGAATGAGGACTAGTAGGTGAGGAAGGAAGAGAATAACACTAGAAGAGATTGGTTTTAAAGCGGGGGCTGCTGGGGTGCTGTTTTGAAGAGTTAGAGCCAAATCTTAATTCAGTCACAGAGCTCCTGCATGAGGTTGGGTGAGTCATTTCAACCACATTTTTTAAATATGGCCATTAGTTGTGTACTTCTCATTTTCCGAGTTCAGACTCTTGGGACTGATTAATGCCAGCTTTGAAAACACATGATAGCACTGAAATAGATTCAAGTTGTATTTTGTACTGACAAAGTGCTGTTTAATTGCTCTATCCTCTGAAGAGAGACCCAAAGCATCTCAAGTCAAGCATCTCTAATTACAGGCAATCCTGATGCACATCACTGTCTCCCAGTTTGCTACCTGAAAACAGGAATCATAAAATTCTGATGGAGGTGCTGTGGAGTAATTAGTATAAGGAAATAATTCAGGTACATAATAGAGAATACATACAGATAAATGATAAGTTTTCTAGTTATTATTCTAGATATAGGTGCTGTAAAATATACAAAGGTGCCAGATAGTGAACAGTGAGGGTGAAGTATTGAATGAGTGCTCATTCAGTGTTAGCACTGTCCTTAGAACAGGGAAAAGATCCTCTGGAAAAAAATAAGGTGTGATTGGTTAGTCGAGGGCAATATCATACAGTGTTTGTGTGTAGGAGTGAGAGAGGTATTTCAGTTTCCTGACCATTAGAGTTCACCTTTTTATGGCAGTATTCTTCTGGGGTGGTGGGGGTGTGTATTTTATACCAGCTGAAAACTGAAACTTTCTATCATGTGAGGCTTGTGTAAGTAATTGTATAAATCACTGACAAAGTAAGCTTGAACCTCTAATTGTTCTGTACCAAGCCAGCGTTGGAGGAATGTAAAAATGCATACCTTGTTAGTGATTTTTACAGATAGTTGCTGACCGTGGAGACAGTGTGAATCAAAAATTTGATCTTGGGGATCGAGAGCTCTCAATCAGGCTCTTGAAAGGTACGCAAAAGCGAAACACCCTTTTAAACATGCTCAACACCCTTTTAAACATGCTCAGCGTAGACAAAGTGTGTGGCAAATTTACTGCCAAACTTGAGCAAGGTTCCAATGCAAACATATTTTTGGAATTTGATGCTACTCTGTCATTCAGGCTGTTGTTAATTTTTCTTCTGAAGAACAGCAAATCACCTATCTCATGCTAGGGGAGAAGACCCTCTCACATCTCTCCTTGCCAAATTTCACCTGAGCTGTTTGATATGTTTCTTTTTCTGACATGAGCAGAACAATGCATTTTTTCCCATGTTAATTTAAATCCCCTTTGATATATGACGAATTTAAACATGGGAGTCAACTGGAAATAGAAGTGATTGTACTGTAAGAGCATTTGTTCATAATAATGTCTCTTAAACTGTTTTGGTCTCATCAAGTGTGTATCCCTTACCTAGAGAAATTGATTTGTCTGAGGGTGTATCTACACTGTATAATGTAATATGAAGATAAATGAGCTTGCTCAGAAGCAATCTAGTGAGGGAGCTCCACATGAGCTAATTAGTCTGAGACGTGTCCTGCTGCTGTAGAGTACAGGCACACCTTCAATAAGTGCTCTGAAGACCTCCTTGGATTTCTCGAAACACAGCACATGAGAACTGTGGTAGTTGACTGTCTTATGACAGTATAGAGGAGTTTAGGTTTTCTTCATCTAAGTAGAAGTGACTGTTGAATGTCACTTTGGACTTGGTTATTGTCAAAGAAATATCAGGCATTATGCCACAGTAGAAGTGCTCACCTGGTGCTGAGGAAACTTGGATTCTATTTTAGCTCTGTCATTAACTTGTTGGGTAAAACAGAGTAGGGTATCATGTCTCTGGGATTAGCAGTAGTGGATAATGGCAAGTTTATGAAGTGTTTGAAGATCAGTGCTGGAAAGCCAAATGTAAAAACTATGTTTTATTGTTCTGGGACCAGGTGATTAAGTATTTGGTCAAGTGCTTAGAAAGAGAGCCTACATCATTAGAAGCTGCTCGGATGAGGGATTTTGCTGCATATCAATTGGAAAATTTGGTTGTGAGATGATAAAAGGAAGACCTTTTTGTTAATCTTACAAGGATTTGGGTTTTTGAATTGATATATGCCTGAGGGCACAAAAAAAAAGTTCTGCTTCTGTTGACTAAGGAAGATGTGGTCACCAAAGCTGATACTAAGAATTCTGGTTAATCTGTGTTCATTGTTGAAAAAGTTAATGTTCTGGGGTTGTAAGTACAAACCCAGGTAAGCTAAAAATCTTTATTATGTAACTGTCAGTGTTTAATAGCAACTGTGCAATCTACCAGTGTTAGTTTTCCTGATGGTTCAAACACATGGTATATCAAAAAAGTGTATCTAAGCTTTAAGTCCTCTTGATCTGTGTATAAGAATGCAACATCTGAACAGTTACTCAGGAGTGCAAATGTGAAATTGTCCAAAGCAAAAATAAATCTTCCTTCTTCCTATACATGGTTTGATCACTAACCCTGTGATCTATACGGCTTTCAAATGTCTAGTCTTAGCAGCTGTTACGCGTGCATTCTGAACTCTACCATGTTAGCCATTTGTATTACTTTGCAGTATGCTGGGTGGATGAGCAGGTGGGGGCTGGTTTTGATGCTTGGGGCATTCCAGAGGAAATAGATCTTTATCAAAAGCCCTTTGTCAGCAATAGCCTCCCATTAATAAGGTAAGACCATCAAGTTGGTTAGCACCTTTGCTTGCTGTGCCATTGTGGTGGGGAGAAGCATTATATTCGAAAGCCAAAAGGCTTCCAAGTCTTTTGGTATTTGAGGGTGAAAACTAACATCTTCACTTAGCTCTGATGCATGAGTGGTTTGGTGGCTTGTTTTAGGGAACTGGAAAGAGCCTTCTTCACAAGTCATAGGGTTTATGGGGGGGGGAAGATCTCTGTAACTTTATAAGAAAGAAATGGAAAGACAGCAAAGAGATAATTAGACTGAAAACAAGTAGCAAATTTTATAGTGTATTGGATTTTTTTTTTTTCCATAATCAATGGAGGAGAAATCCACTGTTGGCACTAGCAGAATGGAAGAACAAAAGATTCTAGCTGCAAAGAATATAACAGTAGTTCAGTCTCAGTACTGCTTGTTACGTAAGATTTAAGACAGACTTTTCAAATCTTGCTTCCTTACATATTGCCATTGATGGCGGTGGCAGCAGCAGTGGTGTTCACCTGTTCAAGACAGTGTTTCTATACCACTTCAGAATAACTTGTGTACTAGTAGTGATAAAGGTACCGTGTTTTGAAAATATCTGATATGTGGCGTTGTAAGATATTTCCCTGTAGTTGTTGGAAGAAGATATGGTGGAGATTAAAATTTCTGTCTAAAGATCTGCCTATATAATTTGAACTAGCTAGGAGCTAGTATCACTCTCTCCAGGGAGGTGTTGGTAAATGAGGGATGTAAGTGATGGGGAGGGAAACTCTGTGCTCTCTGAAAATCTTGTCTTTTGGAAGAGAGGAAGATGATTTGTGGCTATTCTATCTTTTGTTTTGGTGGAAGTAGCTGTTCTTGATACGATGAGCAGAAATACAACTTGTCCGGTAGGGCTACAAGTTCACGCCTGTTGACTCTGACACATTTTTAGGTTTATTCAACTCCTCTTCCTGATCTCTGTATGGTGTGTGGTTTGTTCTCTCAGCTCTTCTTTCAACTCTTATTTCTTGAGTTGAACAAAAAAAACAACTCTCTCTGTTTCTCCCTCTTCACCCTGCTTTTCCATCATTCCTTTTGGGTTTCTTCCTATGTGATGTTACTTTCATCATCCCTGCAAACAACTTTCTGAAACAGCCCATTCCTAGCTTTTATTGCAAGTACATTTAGTTCATTAGCAAAGCCAGTTTCAAGCACAGAATTTAATTTGATGCATATGAAGCCCTATATAAACAAAAAAATGTTCATATGTACACTATCAAAAAATAAGGAAGGATCACCGTGAGAAATCAAACTCTCTAATTTTTAATTTGGTAATGTTTTCTCAATTACTTAGCTGTTTGTGTTATCAGTAACACTTAGAAAGTCTCTTGATTTGTGAACAGGACAGTCCATGTAGTTAAAAAAAATTGGAATGAAAACCAGAAGGCCTGTCTTTTGTTCTTTGCTCTTGTTGAGCTGTGAAACGTCAGGTTTTTAATGATATTATAGCATCTGACAGCACAGAAGACTTTTTTGTGTCATTTTTTTCTAAAAGTCTTGTAGTTTTTCA